CTTCTCTCCCTCATGCCAACGCACACAATTGTAGGCGGTACCTATGGGGGCCGACGACTTTCTTGATTTTATTAGTTTTTTTTTTTAATAATATGTGCATTACAAAATACTTCAAAATATTGTTTTAATGCTTAAACTCTTTGGGCCGGTGAAGTAAGTTATGCGTCCATACTAATTATAATGGAGAAGTATTTCGATGCATACCACACACAAAAATGCGTGAGGTCTCAGTAGCTTCAGATCATGTAACATGCAAATCGTACATTTGTTTTTTGATAACCATTTCCAGGAATACATCCTTGTTAACATGGTGTGCATGTCATATCTTAGCTTAATATAAGTTATAATACATCATCATGGAGTATGATATAACATAATTCATGTGCTAGAATACGGTACATGGAGGGGTCACAGAGCACGTGTGGTTCATACATCATTCAATTCATCCAACCATGTCAAGAGTCGAGCAACAATCATAATTTAAAATTCTACTATGAAAATTAATTTTAACCTTAAATGTCTCTAAACAATTGAAAAAGTCTGAGCATATTAGACCCAAACTGAATCAGCTGAGAATATGGACGGGGCGGTACTCTCACACCGTTTACGGATCATGAAGACTAATTGTGCGTAAAGTTGACTATAGTGTAGTTGCTCAGAAACATGCGAATATGTTTGTTTGTACTTTCATATTTGTGGCATTTGTATCTGTATTAGGAGTGTTCAATAAACTTGACCAAAAAAACCTGATCAACTTCATCAGACCAGTGTCATTCCGGTTTTGAATTATGAACTTATTTAGATTGAATTAGATTAAAATAAATGAAAATTTAATGGACGTTTTCACCCGAATAGAGATTGAAATAGAATGCGAGGATAAGAAAAACAAAAATATATAAGTAAAGATTGATAAGAGGTTTTATGTTATTGTTCCATTATAGATATGGATTTTGATACGAAGGAGATTGTAACATAAACATCTCACTCCTGGAGAAGAACGTGGAAAGACTCGAGCTTCCGAGGAGGCTTCACCCATGGTTGCTCCCACACCTTAGCCTCATACTTTCGATGATGATTTGCACCAACATCAACCAACAACACAAGCTCGTACATATCTCCAGACACTAGTTGCTTCGACCCACTTACCACTTCAAGAAACTTTAGTGAATCCCCACTTTGTTTGTTGTGTTCGTTCACTGCCCATTCTCCAATATCTCGCACATGTGGGTCTTTTGGATCAACTGGCACCTGACCTCCAAGAGAGGAACTCATTGTCACTTAGAATCGATAGTCGACGAGCTTTGAAATTGTTTGCTCACTTCCTAACAAGAGTTTGATATTTATAGAGAGGAAGGTGTTTCCCTCTATCGTTGGTGGATATAATCGTAGATAAAGAAAAACGTTCCTATCTACATAAAGAATGTGATCCGTAGATATCCTTCAAGAAAGGTGTGCTTTAATTATCATACTCATTAAGAGAGAGAAAAAACACGTGAATTATGTTGTTCAACACTTTGATATTCGTATCTTATATTATTTTACTTTAATCAATAACAAAATTAAACTTGATGATATTCGAATTATGTCGCTGATTTGACTTTTAATTCTCTGTTATCTAAACAACTTGAAGATGATTATTCTTTATTGAATGTGGTATTGATTCTCTTAAAAATTGATATCAAAAGTATCATAGGATAATTATCTTGTTTGCAATTCTAAATTTGGTTTGTAACTCAATCCTTAACCGCTCAAGTCTACTGCTAGCAGATATTGTTCTTTAGGTGGTGTGCCAGGAAGGACACTAGTCCTCGAAGAGGGATGAATTGTAAGATCTCACATCGATTGGAGAGGGAACTAGTGTCAGCGAAGACGCTAGATCCCAAAGGAGGTGGATTGTGAGATCCCACATCGGTTGGGAGGAGAACTACGTCTCTCTTACAAGAGTATGAAAACCTTACCCAGCAGGCGCGTTTTAAATTTTTTTGAAAAAAGACCCGAAGAGAACAATATCTGCTAGTCTATGATCCCCAAACTATATCGTTACCCTACAAAACGTGACCATTTATAATTTTATTTATTATTCTCAACTAAAATCGTTAAAGTAGAAAGTGTATTGTTTCGCAATAGAAACGACTCATTGGGCCAACTTGTTTTGGGCTTTCTTCAGATCCATTTAGTGGGCCAACCCAATGATAAGCCAATTGGGCTTTGGGCTTAGACAGAGGCTCTTAACCTGTATTTTTGTTGTTCTCGGTCCAGGCTAATGACGAAGAAGAACAGCAACACTTATAAAGATTTACGGAATTTTTTTTGTTCTAAATTGTTCAAGAAATTGCTTGCTTTCTTACGAACATCTTCTTCCTTCGAACTCTTTTCTTGCTTCACCGTGACCGCCCGCTTCAAATCAAGAACTGTCTGATGATCAACCAGACAGCCAAATTTATTTAGGAGGTTAGTTGTTGCATTCAGAATTCAAGTTTCTAGCCGAATTTCGTTTTGTCTGATGCTATGTAAGGACCTGTACAAGATAATTGCTGCGAAATTTTGGTATTTTTCTGATTTTCTTGTTTCTCCCTTATGATTTAGGGTTTGTTTTCTATTGCTCATGTCTGGGAATTCTTAGTATGGGATATTGGCATTTGATTCAAACTTAAAAGTCTGTGTGATTAATTATACCGACGGATTGCTTTTCTTGTAAAAACATCTTATGAAGTGATTGATTTCTTTTAGGAGTGATAGTATTAAATTTCATCTAAATGTTTCATGACGCCTTTGGTTGAAAGGAGAAGGAAAAAATAAGAATAATGTTTAAGCGGAAAGAAGAAAGCATACTCCATTAGTTCTTAAATCATTCAACATCTTAATAGAATTGACAGACCAAAGCCATGTAAATTAGTGAAGAGTATATGTAATACGAAACTGTGATATCTAAGAACTCAAATTATAGTTAGATGATACGCAAATGATGCCTGACGTAGATAATGATAGTTCTTCTATTCAAACTAATCCTTTCACTTATTCTTCCCATAATGAGTATGGTGTTCTGGACATTTTTTTGGTCTATATTGAATCCTGGAAGAAATACATATTGTTCTTCACTCTTTGACAAGAAAATGTAGTGTGTATATTTGTGAATTATCGCTCTCTTAATTTTTGCGACTGCTTGTGAGTTATGATTATACAATTGTTGAGTCACAATCTACCATGCCTGTATTTTGCAGATAGCTAGGAATTGGACTTTGTAGCTTCATTTTGATGGCTATTGTTGAATCGATACTTGATCTTCAGGTACAAGATCCAGCTGAGGAAGAGTTCTATTCTGCTGATTTGACTTGGACCAAGTTTGGCAGTGTCGAACACCATGACCACTGAGTTGCATTCGACCTATTGGCTAGATCTCTATGCTGATGAAAGTGACTCGTTTCAAAATGTCAAGGATGAGTATATTTCTTCTACTTCTTGGCACCGTGCTTTGCAAATTCCGGATTCTTCAGTTACCATGGATGACAAGAATCACCTTTTTGCCGAAGTTTTGAGCCAAAAGGACAGCAGTGTTTCACATGTAGTGTGGAATCCAGGGTCAGAATTCTCATTTTGTGCTTGTTCTTGGTCAATGCAACGAAATCTTTGCAAACACGTGATCATTGTCCAAGTTACAAACCTTCCTTATCTTTTCAATCATTTGAGAAGATATTGATGTATATGTAGAAAATACCAATTGATGATTCTGTTGCCTTGGTGTGTCAATGGCTTGGACCCATCAGATTCTGGATGAAATTCAGAAACTAGTTGAATTGAGTTTTTCAAATGATATAAGCTCTGCGGTAAATAAGCTGCCCTTGAAATGGGGTTCTGGGAAGGGAAGAACCAGTTTTAGGAAGCCATCATCTATCATGGCTGTTCCATCGGTGCCCAATACTGTCAGAAAGGCCATGCGAAGGAACCGGAAAAGGAAAAGATTATCCAGACCAAGATAGTTTGCCCAGCTTGTTTGCTATTTTATTTCCATTGGGCTCTTTTCAATACCTTGATCTCAATTTATATGATTGTTATATAAGATTTGGTGGCTTGTTGAGTAACTTAAGATTGAAGTATGATCATTTTACAAACACACCCAAGATTAACTGGACGTTGCATTTGTTATGGCGTGTAGATCCGTCCACATGGAGGCACCGCTCGAGTCTTGTCATTGAGGTTAGACTTCTTACACCTCTTTGGCCTTCTGCACTACGTTTACATAATTTATGTTTCATCTTTTTCAGATCCTTTAGATACACTTCTATTTTACGAGTTGATGCTTCTGAATTTTGCAGGAATGTGTATATAGTAACTGTTAAATAAGATCAGTTCAAGTACTTGTTCAGTTTAGGTAGCTAGAGTATGAGTAGAATTGTTTAGTTGAGTAGAATTGTTTAGTTGGCAGGCCTGTCAAGGTTACGGTGATTTTGGGTAGTGTAACAGCTCAAGCCCACCGCTAGCAAATATGACCCTTTTTTTAACTTTCTCTTTTAGGCTTCTCCTCAAGGTTTTGAAACGCGTTGAGAGGTTTCTATACCTTTATAAAAAATGTTTCGCTCCCCTCTCTAACCAATGTGGGATCTCCCCCCTTGGAAGCCAGCGTCCTCATTGACACATAACAAGTCAAAATGGACAATATCTACTAGCGGCTTGAGGTGTTGTTATAAGTAAGCACTCCAGAAATTGTACCTCCGATTTTACAATGGCAAATTGCCTAGTTTGTTGCCATCACGTATTGAAGGGAACACAGATCATGTACTAATTAGATATCTGTACTACTTACATTCAATCCGAAAATAAAGTCAAAATGTTTCTAGCCGTGTAAGTTGATTCTTTGATTCAATAACTAGCTCCAGCAAAATGGCATTGATTGATGAAAGTTGTGCCAATATATATGATAATTTTTTCTGCACTTAATTGAACATTTTAATCTTAATCTTAGGCTTAAAAGTTAAAGAAAATTAGTAGTTTTTTTAGTATAATTTTGGAAGTTTTAGAGCCATTCTAGTTTAACCGATTTAACTAAAATTCAATTTGCTTGAACGTTCCCCATCACGTTTAGATTTCAAAGTGGGTCCAAAATTGAATCTCGCCACACACATTTTCATGTCCAAAAGACCCTAATCACAGCCATGGATTGCCAATTGGGAGTGAGGAAATCTCACCTTATCCACACTGTCACCACAATTCCTTATCCAACTCCATCTCAGACGTCGTTCATTTATCAGATTCCCTCATAATCCCATTTCCCCATTAACAACTCTCCACCATTAATCCTCCTCCTTCGAGCCTTCGGACTTGGATTTTGTACAAAAGTTACAGAGAGTAATGGCGACCATGAATTCCAGCGTCTTGGCCTGCAACTACGCCATTTCAGGTGCTGGATCCGCCGAGCTTAACTCGAAACTCAGCGCCGTGACTTCTGTTGCGTCGCCTGGGGTTTCTGGTTACAAGTTGCCTGCGATTAGGGCTCGACAGGCTAGGGTTCCTGAAGCTAAGAATGAAGGAAGGAGAACTGCGCTTCTCTTCCTTGGAGCTTCCCTCTTTGCTGCGGCTGCTGCTTCCTCCAACTCTTCGGCTAATGCTGGAGTCATTGAAGAGTACCTTGAGAAGAGTAAAGCTAACAAGGTAAGCTACTCTTTGCTATCCAGATTATTCATGAACATTCAAATTGCTTTTATCATTTAGTTTTAGATCCTGTTTCGGTCTATGAACTCTATTCCAGCTAATATACTTTCAAATGCTATGTTTGGATTCTTTGTCTTTGCATATTAATGAGTCTTGTTCTTGATTCCTTGACTTAGCTCAAAAGTGTGTTTGGTTCTTGTTCTTGCTAAACTTCCATGGTACACGTAATATTTTAAGCCTATCGCTAGTAGATAATTGTCCTCTTTGGGCTTTTCCCTTCGATCTTTCCCTCAAGATTTTTAAAACGTGTCTGATAGGAAGAGGTTTCTACACCCTTTATAAAGAATGCTTCGTTCTCCTCTCCAACCGACGTGAGATGTCACGTACATTTCAAAAGTGAATGAAACAGAATTTAGTCAATTGGATGGTAAACCGATCATGTTCTTAACTCTGTTATTGCAACAGGAGCTGAATGACAAGAAAAGATTAGCAACAAGTGGAGCAAACTTTGCAAGGGCATACACTGTTCAGTTTGGATCATGCAAGTTCCCAGAGAACTTCACAGGGTGCCAAGATCTTGCAAAACAAAAGGTATGAACATTCATTGCTTAGTTATAATCAGCGTTGGCTGTGAAATTTTGAGTACAAGTAAATGTGTTTATGTTAAGCACTAAGTTAGTTCTCTGTCCTGCTTTTGATGAATGCAGAAAGTCCCATTTATCTCTGATGATTTGGAATTGGAGTGTGAGGGGAAGGACAAGTACAAGTGTGGTTCCAATGTCTTCTGGAAATGGTGAAGAGAACAGAACAATTTATTGAAGTCTTTGTATCTAATTTTCAACTTTTAAGAAGTGTGAAATTTTATTTAGTCCAATTCCATTGCTTTCTTTCTTCTCTTTCAGACCAAAAGAAGCCAAATGAGAAAGTAGAAACCCTAGAAATCTATTGCTTTAGCTTTGTTAATGTTAATAATGTTCGGGAAGGTAACTAAAAGATATATTTAATAGTCCATTTGAGCCTAATTCAATACAAAAAAATACCAATTTTATCGATAGATAATTTATCAATAAAATTCAATCTACGTTCCTATCATTGTTAAACAAATGTATATAATCGGTTCCAATTTCATTCAGATGTCTAGGTTTCATTCAAAATTCTAGAAAGAAAAACGTTTTGGGATAAATTCCGAACTTAAAATGGTATTACAAAATGTTGGAGCATCGTTTAGTCAAAATTAACGACTTGATTTAGATGGTTAACTATGTTTTTATGTTCGAAGGGTCAAATTGTGCGAGTTGATAAAGTTTTATGGCTTCTTTTTGTGGCTATCAATGACGTTTTTTTGCAAGTCAAGCTAAAAAAACGAGAGATTGAACTGCAGTGCACTACACTCGGTGTCGGTGTCACGGTGTAGTAATAAACAAAAACTGATTATTACATGTACAGACCACCTTTCATTTACAAGAACCAAAAAAATATTGTTATAACTCACAAGATTTCTCTAAGAAAATACATCATATCCCCATTGCTTAAGAAAGCTTTGTCCCATTCCCACCATCAGTGTCCATTCATCAATAACTCAAATCTCTCTGATACACAATGGATAAATTTACACCTGAGGATATGAGGAAGATGTCTTTTTCTTCTTTTTCATTAAACGTTTATAGTCAAAGAGGTCTTCTTGGTGATCCACCATGAGTCTGCACTTTCAATAGCGATGAATCTCGTGATGGGTCGAGAGTGAACAATGTGTTTGGTCTCGTGTTATATGCGTATTCGTTTAAATTGTAACAGCTTTGACCCAACCCCATGTAAGATGTGTGAGGTGGTGAACGATAACAGCTCTGGTGTAGCGGGCCATACGACCGTAACGGACTCGAAGACGGAGAGACAGGCAAGGACGTGATCATTCGTGCATTTCCCCTGTGCACATAAAGCATATGCATCAATCTCTGAGACATGGTCTAAGGCAAAGAGGAGATTGTAAAGGACAGGATGTTGAGTACCTAGGACTCCTCAAAGCTCTCGACGAGGTTGTCAGGTTTGTCACGTAGTCTCCATCACATATGCTTATACTTTTTCTGTTTGGATGCTGATCTAACAATGGCTGCATACATAGATGCAAAGATTTCAACTCTATAATAAACTTTAAACAGCAGCACAATCCAAGAGGTCTCTCAATTCAAGCGATTCAAATAAATAATTTCATCTCAACCGTGTGATTCTAAGTTCTAAGTAACACGAGCAACCTACCGGAGTCTGGAAACCGTCGAAGCTAAAGGGAAATGCATCCATGGAAAAGTTAACATCAGATGCTCTTGGTGTTACTGCATCTTGAACAAAAGGGTGATCCAGCAGTTCTGCAGCGGAAGGACGTGCCGATGGATCGCGTTGTAAACATAGCTGCACAAAGTTTTTAGCATCATAGGAGAGATGGTCTGGGATTTCAGGCATATCTTTGCTATTTCCAATTTTGAATATGGCAGCCACCTGTTAGTTCCAAAATATAAGATAAATATGGACCCAGAGAATTTAACATCAAGAGTAAACAAAAACTCGGAGAGAAATGTTCGAGGAAGATGCGTACCCCTTCGTATTTGCTCCAAGGTGGCTTAGACGTTGCCATTTCGAGAACCGTACACCCTAAACTCCAAATATCTACAGCAAGACTATACCCATTTGTATGCATCACAACCTGAGATTCCACGACGAGAAACGAGAAACTATTAAGACAGACATAGTGTAGGTGTACAAGTAAAAGAAAAAGTTCAATATAATACAGAAGAATGTAGAGGAACATTATTTGTAACCGCTCAAGCCCACCGCTAGCAGATATTGTCCTCTTTGGGCTTTCCCTTTCAGCCTTCCCCTCAAGGTTTTTAATAGGCGTCTACTAGGGAGAGATTTCCACAACCTTGCAAGGAATGCTTCGTTCTCCTCTCCAGCGATGTGGGATCTCACAATCCACCCTCCTTGGGGCCAGCGTCCTCGCTGGTAGACCGTCCGGTGTCTGACTCTAATACCATTTGTTACAGCTCAAACCCATCACTAGTAGATACTGTCCTCTTTGGGCTTTCCCTCTCGAGATTCCCCTCAAGATTTTTAAAACGCGTCTACTAGGGAGAGGTTTCCACACCCTTATTAAGGAATGTTTCGTCCTCCTCTCCAACCGAGGTAGGATCTCACATTCTTCCTTTTCGTTTATTCTTTTTGTAGTACTCGCTTTTCTGTCTGTTATTTAAAGCAGGGGAATGGAACAAAGTGATAAAAAGTACCTCGGGGGCCATCCAATAAGGACTGCCTTTGAACGAAAGCATCGAAGTACAATTCGTCATCTGATTCAAACAAAAAAGAAAACATAAATTCTAAATCAATCAAATTGTCAAAATATTTTGATATCAGAACTTCTAACCCGAAAGCAAATTTAGCAGTTAATTCCATTAGCCAAAGCATTTGAAGTTACTTATTTAGAACTGTGGCTCGGTCGAGGACAAGGAAAAAATAGTAACATTTGAGAAGACGAGTTAATTTACATACGTGTTTTGCCATGCCAAAGTCGACCAACTTGACCTCGCCATTTGGATCCACCAAGATATTAGCCCCTTTGATGTCCCTGCCATGAGAAGTACATAAGGACCCGCACGTATGAAAATACGATTCCAGAGCAGTATTTACAGCCAAAATACCTATGCACTGTATTTCTCCCATGCAGATACGCGAGCCCAGAAAGAATCTTTCGGGTATAATTTCTTATAACGGGTTCTTTGAAGGCGCCATATTCTTGTAGTAATTTGTGGATTGAGCCACCGGAGATGTATTCTAAATAGACGGAGAGCGATTCCTCACCCTGATAGAGCACATTTATTTCGTAAGATTGGTTCAGAAGTTTTGAAACTTGTGTTCATTATTATTAGAAAGTAGCCTTCAACAGAGTATGAGAGTGCTTACCATTTCACTACCATAGTACCGGACGATGTTCGGATGCGACAGCTGACTGAGCACGGTTATCTCCTGTTTAGATGGAGTGATGGGTTAGAATTACAACCAAGCATCAAGATAGTAAAACGTATAGCTTAAAAGCGGATATAGCAAACAAATATACACTAAAGTACTCGAACTGGAGAATAAGAACGACCTGATTCAATTGCTTGAGACATTCCTTCGATGTCGAGTCATCGCTAATAACCTTGACCTCCTTAATTGCACACATTTGGCCACTTACACTGCAATGAATCCAAGAAGAAGGATTAGAGAAGTACTAACAAAATAGTTCGTTTGATCGACTAAGTGCTCCTATGAGATGCTAACAGGGAGGTTAACTACAAACTAGTTTGTTTGATCGACTAAGCAAGATACGAACCGAGAGTGTACAACATCGTTTATGAATCGTATCTTGGTCGACACACTAATCCCAAATTTGAAAATATAGTTTCAATCCATCTTATTACAATGTGAACACGAAAATATCTTAATCAAAACCACCATTACCTGTTAAATCCAAGGTAAACGTGCCCAAATGTTCCCCTTCCTAGAAGCCTTCCTCTCTTCCACTTCGATTGGGTAGCCGGGTCGTTATCACCGATATTGACAGCTTTCGTGCTGGTCAACGAAGAAGGGCTGGTGGGAGAGCTTGGAGGAAGCGGCAGCTTATGACATCGACTCTTCCCATCATCTAGCTTGCCGGTCGGAGATTCAAGACTCATGCCACAGAACCGTGAGTTCAGAGGCGATGTAGGACTCGCGGGTCCTCTCGATCCTGGACCGGGACTTCTTGGCCTTGCCTCTATTCTGGTATCAGCAAATCCTCTAAATAAAATTCGAAACATATGGACTAAAATTACTAAAAGCATTACAGATTTTCATCTTCTGAGTAGCCATTACTTCTAAATATCTCACCGATGGAACTATGAGTGTCCTCTAAAAACAAACTCTAAATTCTTTTCGTTCCAGTTGAGTGAAACCTTATGAAGCAGTCACGAGTAGATTTGAAAATGGAAGTATTAATCAATAAAATCCTCTATTACAGAAACACTACGCAATAAGATCAATCAATAAAATCCTCTATTGCAGAAACAGGGGAATGTTCTGTTAAACAGAGGACTTAAGTCCTTCAAGTTCACAACAGGATCTAAACGATAAGTCATCTCCAGCCAAAAACCTAGAATCATCCACAAACTCAGAACAAGAAATCACTACACAAACAAGAAAAATCTTCAAAATTAGAAGCCCACCCACCTGTAAGCTCCAAACTGAAGCTGTTCTTGATTCGATGGATGATCATCCGAAGACCCAGAAGAGCTAACACTGGAAACCGAAACAGACCCAGATCCAATCCCGACTCCATGATCAATCCCAAAAGCGGGGGGAGTAGCAGGTCTCGGAAGAGGGTGACTCTTATCCCCACTATCGGAGTCAAAACCAGAGAACCCAGAAGAGCCGCCGCCGCCGCCATCAGCAACCCCAGAAGAGGCCAGATCCCTGGAAGGCCTGGGGGAATTACGAGAGAAAATCAGAGAAGAGAGGTCATCGAAGCTCCTGGGGGTGTCTGCCCCCTTCTTAGGCTCAGATTTAGGGGAAGAAGTAGAAGATTTAGAGAAGTTGAGAAAATTAGTGGGGGGATTGTGATGCTCTTTGTTTTTACTGAATTTTCTTGCCCACCAAGCAGGCATGGTAGAAAGAAGAGAAATAAGCAAACCCCAGATGAAATCAGAGAGAGAAGAAACTATGGATCAAAAGTGGCTGTGAAACAAATCGAATTGAATTGAATCAAATCGAAGTGGGGTTCGAGGAAAGGAGTGAATGACATGAACAAAGAGAGGAAGAAAAATGGAATAAGGAAGGTGAGGAAATTGAAGCTGAGGAGAGAGAGGGGAAGAGAGAGAGAATTGGAGTGAAATGGAGAGGGGGGGGGGACGGCAGGCGGTGGTTGGATAAAGTGGGGGAAATGACGTGG